GTTATATAGAGTTCTTAAGCTGCAGAAACGCGCTGCTAGAGTCATCCTTTACGCAGAGCGGATGGCTCCATCCGTAGAACTCTTTAATAGACTGAAATGGATTCCTTTTTACGAGAAGTGTAAGATTGACAAAGCGTCGATAATGTTTAAACGAATCCACGGTGCACTACCTAGCTATTTAAACGAGCATATTCCGATCAACAACTCAAGACATTCAAGAACTACGCGCTATTCAAACTTTAATGTACTGTGCCCCAGATATAACAGGGAAACTGAAGGTGGGCGCACTTTTCTCGTCACCGGAACCAAAATTTGGAACGAGATACCACTACGCATACGGATGGCGGACAGCATAAGGTGCTTTAAGCACAACATGTGGACTAATATTTTTTCGCAGCAACAATTTTTAAGTCATTTTCGTGTATAGTTTCCTTTTTAGTTTCTTTACTTATCTTGCAATTATATTATATTATATTAGTTTCTATTTTTATATTGTATTATACTAGTTTTTATATTGTAATTATTTCTGAGTGAGGGCCACAAGTTTATTAGCTATGCTATTATGTGTTACCCTCGTAAAATAAAGTCTTTATTATTATTATTATTATATAAGGCTTTGTAATATCCCATGAATTCCTATGATATCATTTGGAGTTAATTGGCAGTCTATGTTTCTATATTCCCCCCTGATAATCTATTGACGACGACTGATTCCCCCTCCGTTCATCCTGAAAACCATGTGTCCCCCTTAACTTCTTTCCCCCCGCCCCCTGGGGTAACTAACGACTGGTGTCTTACCCTCAGTAGTCGAGGTTATTCATAGAAACTACTTACTGATTCAGCAAACGAAGGACTGAACGCAATTTGTTTGTATTTTACATAGTAAGAAATTGTAATTCCACACTGGGTCAAAGGTCAACCAAAAATTGTTATGACATTTGGTTGAACTAATTATTTAGCGCACAGAGATTTTCCAAGAATCTCCTGGTGAAACGTAGTCATAGTACAAGTCATCGCAGTACCAATATCCGTGTAATACTCTACAGTGATAGTTGCCTGGGACATATGCAGCACGTATGCACAGTTTCACTTCCACACGATCTTCATTCCATCCCCATTTTCCCTCATAATTCCAACTCTCACACTCCATGACCGACTTAGAGTTGTCGTCTTCCATTCTCTGAAAAGACCCACAGGAATCAGGACGCACATCCGTCAGGCCGCTGAAGTACTCGACCACAGCTTCACCGGTGCTGTTACTGACTGTGGTCACGTGGAACGTACGACCTTGTTTTTTACTGCAGTGGAGTCTCGACTGAGTGAAGGACAAGTGTCACTTGAGTTCTTTCAGTGCGCTCACTGTGATACCCATTTTTTTGTTGGTAAAGTTTCTGATTCTGCGGTATGATGACTCAAAAGTCCAGTGTGAGGGTGAAATAGACTTTTTCGTTTCGTTTTGCCGCTTCGCCGACGAGAAACATCGACACAGGTGCCCTGCGTTGGTTTCATCAAAATGTATTTCAGATGTAAGAAAAACAAGAAACGAAAAAGGGAGGCCAATGAATAGTTAATCAATCTCCATTAACCTTGGAATACTTCTTTAGATTTCTATTGCCAGGTTTAAAGAATAGAATAAGTGGTTAGTTTATACATTTTTTTGAGAATACAGCGAGTAAAGCCAAGAATAACAAGTGCACGCATAATTATACGCACGCTCTAAAATTGATTGTAAGAGCTTTTGCAGTTGAATTTTCTCGTTCAGTTATTCTTCTTTGCACAATAAAAAAATGATAGTTATGAAAATGAAGATGAGATTATGATGATAATGATGGTAAAAAAAGGTAACGGTGCTCCAAATCTCTAGCATAAAAACGGATTACCAACGAGATTTTTTGTTTCTTTATCTTCGCCTTGTGCCTCTCTCGAATATAGAAAGGAATATGGGTAAGTACTAAAACAAGGAACGACCTAAAACCACCTAAAACCACCTAAAACCACCTAAAACCACCTAAAACCACCCACAACCATCTACAACCACCTCAAAAATTTCAACAACCACCTACAACCACCTCAAAAACATGTGCAACCACTCGCAAACTATCTAAAACCATCTAAAACAAGGCATAAATGTCTAAAATAAGGCGAAACGACAACATGTCACGTACACGAAATACGAGAATATCGAACGAAACCTCTACCTCCCCCTGAAATCTTACTCTCCCTGGTCCCATGTATAATCAACCATCTCACGAAATGAAATGCGATAGCATGCTAATTATTTTATATTCCCTCAGCAAAAGACTTAAAGAACTTTACAAAATGAACTAACATGTTACAAAAAATAATACATTGGGAATCATACATAGGCGCGCGTATATATGGAAGTTTTTGTAAATAGCGAATAATTATTCCTTATTTAAATAAATAGGGAATAATATGGTAGATATGGAATTAATCTTCGAGTGTTTAACTCGATAGCTCACGAGTGAGCGCAGTGAACGAGTGAGATGTCGAGTTGAACACGAGAAGAGAAATTCCATATCTACAAGCAACCATGTATTATTTTGTTTATCATATAAACACAATAGCCCTTTTCTGGGAAGAAAATCCGACCTCATTAATGAATGCAAATAAATGAATCGACAATCCTCGAATAACAATCGTAGAGTGCGTTGGCGCTGACTCTTAAGATGGAAAATGGAAGATGAGTCTCAAAATAATTAATAGTTAATTTCTTTTATTTCTGTGGAGTAAAAATTGGTCTGCTCGATGAAGGGAAGTAACATATTTTATCCACCATTATTCCACTGTAATAAGTAGAGAAACCCAAAAATGATTTTTCTCGCTTCTCAGGAAAAAAACCGTTTTTATGCGAGAATTTTTTCTAGCTAAGCAGGTGCACTAAAGTTATTGGTCGCCACAACGAGTGATACAACCACAAAAATATGAAAAGTTACAAATACAAATTGCTTCGACCTCAGAGGAAGCATAATATTTTTTCGCTCACTTGCAAAGCGTTCAACGAGCTTCAGGTCGGTTGCTCCACGCAACTGCTGCCAAAAAGCTAGCCTACCTTAGAATAACATTGAATACCAAGTCGAGACTATTTGTTGATAATAGCTGGGCAAAACACTCAGCGGCAAATAAATCACCTGGGGTATTTCGTGCATTTTCCAGCATGCAGTAATTTCAAAAACAGGAAGACAATTTTTGGATCATAAATGATTAAGTAGTCACCGCTTCTCCGCCGTTAGCAGAATGAGACAGAATCTTTCAGGAATAGTTTAAACCGCTTTTTTCATCATACTTCACAAGGATTTAAAAAACAAAAATCTGTCAGACAAAATAAGAAGAACCACAAAAGCAAACTTAGAATAACATTGAATACCAAGTCGAGACTATTTGTTGATAATAGTTGGTCAAAACACTCAGCGGCAAATAAATCACTCGGGGTATTTTGTGCACTTCCAGCATGTAGTAATTTTACTAAACAGGAAGACAATTTTTGGATCATAAATGATTCAGTAGTCACCACTTCTCCGCCGTCAGAAGAATAAGACAGAGTCTTTCAGGGCAAGTTTGAACTGCTATTTTCATCATACTTCACAAGTATTTAAAAAACAAAAATCTGTCAGACAAAATAAGAACTACAAAAGCCAAAGAAGGCAACTCAAAGCGGTTCAGTTTCTTCTTATTTATACAATCATTTTTTAATTTTAATTTTTTGGTATTTTTTGTACGTTGGTGTGTAAAGGCTTAGCCAAAACGAAGTAAAATCATGTAAAAATTGTTGAATCTAACTTTTTCGAGGCGATGTTTCGTAGTGTTAAATTATATAACAGTTGCCAAGAAAATATTGTAACGAATTTGTTAGAGTTTTCAAGTTCATCTGATTAGAATTATAATCTATTTGGTGATGCGTCGTTGCGAATCGTTGGCGAGTGGTTTGATTTTTGCCCAGATCCTCACAATAGATATAACAAGGTTGCTGCAGAGGAAAAGTTTAGTTTGTTCGTTATTGACAGCTGATTTATCATGACTACTTCCATTATTTTCTCTTGTACCTGTAGTTAAAATTTAGTGGGCCGCACTTACAGCCTTTGGTTTAGAGAAGGATTTTGATCACCTATCCCCAAACGATATCACAAATTCACCTGCTCAGAGTCGCTAATGGAAAGTTGATAAAAGTCTCATCTACTTTGGGGTAATTTGATGCCACAAATAGTGTTCATAGAAATAATCCTGTGCGACGACAGAAATACAATGTAGTCCTGGAGCTACTTAATCAAATGACAGTTTCATGTTGAATTATTAATTTAGGCAATCATAACTAACTAAAGTTCTATTGAATTGTTGCTAGCTCGCTGTTTTCAATCGCAGAAAAATTGTTTTTGTGCCTCGCACGTCCCGGGCATTCATACGCAGTGGATATTTTTCTCACACTGTAATTTATGTCATACTGCAGTGGGCAATGGGTGAATTTGCCTGGATTATGGATTTACCGATCAGCTGTCTGGGTGGTTTAAGTTCGCAATTTTTGTTTTCGGCCTCAGAAACTCGTGTTATCAGTTTTAGCTCGCAAAATAGTGAACAATATCTGAAGTTCTTCGACTAACTGTTAATCAGTGACCTCAGGGACAGTGGAAATAATGGTGGATAAAGTATGTTACTTCCCTTCATCGAGCAGACCAATTTTTACTCCACAGAAATAAAAGAAATTAACTATTAATTATTTTGAGACTCACCTTCAATTTAACATATGGCAAGCCATGTTTTTTTAAGAAAAGTGCAGAGTTTCCGAAAACATCCACTGCATAGCTAAATTAGCGTGGCGATAAGAGAATGAAGTCTTTGATGATTTTAAACAAAAAAAACAAAGATTCACAAAGGCTGATGCGAAAAAAAAAAAAAAAAAAGCTTCAAATGAATAACTTAAAGTTATAAATCAAGTTTCTATTGTCACCGATGCATTACTACTTAGATTGGTTGGCAGACGACACTCAGAGCTGCGCTGGGAAAGTAAAACATCCATTTTTTCCTAGCAGTATAATTTGCCATAAGTTTTTCGTGGAAAGTCGAAAGATTTCTCCTCTCTGACCGGATAGTGAGTACCTCTGAAATTGCATGTGTGTTTCTAAGTGGAAAAGGTTAGCATTTTCAAACTGTTGTCTGACCAACTCCGAATGTTGGCGAATTCCGAAAAAAATTCGTTTTTTAATTCAACAAACTGATCGGATGTAATATTTTGGTAATTTTTCTGATTAACCACGAGGAAAACCACAGTCTGAAACAACTTTTACTTCTGGAGATCTGTGTTTCCAGTAATCTTTATAGCTCTGAGGTAAATCTTGATCCGGCAGAACTACAGTTATTGTTCAATAATTATTAAGCATTTATTAGCCAGTGCTAGTCTAACATTGCCCTAAAATAACCTCACTGGCTTGTTTTGTAGTCATTGACATTATAAATTCTTTTGAAATTATCGAAGAATCTTCCTTACAGAGTTAAGACTTGTAAAGCGATTGGAAAACAAATTTCGAAGTGAACGATTAATTATGAGTGACTGTGCGTGTATCACCCAATATCTTTCATTCTATGTGAGGATGTCAACTTTTTGAATCGCTGCCTTCTCTTATCTTCCGGATTTGTGAGCCAGCCGGAAGTAATTGACATCAACTCCAGCGATCACAATTTTCGACTGATCGATTGATCAAACAATCAGTCATAACTCATTTTTACTTAGTTTAAACGCCCAAGAGATGAGAATATTGTTCGTAGTCCGTTAGCTAGTAAAAATTCTCGCCTAGAAACGGTTTTTTTTTCCTGAGCAGCGATAAAAATCATTCTTGGGTTTCTCTACTTATTACTTTCTTCAGCGTTTCCATCCTTGGGTGATTTATCAGTTTCAATATTCATTTTCTTGTTCCAATTTAGGTCGTCAACGGATTTCTTCATTCTAAGGGTTACCATGGCTAATTAGCACAAATAGAAGGTACGTGCTACTGGGTATTATTTATATACTTTCATATTTCGCCGACTTAACGAAGTTTAAAAATAAAAATACTTTGCAATGAAACTAATAAATGATTTATAACTTAACTTTTGTGTTGTTATGAAAAGTAGGCCACAGACAGGCGTAAGCCCAAAACAAAAAAGAACAAAACAGTTGCAGTTTTTTTTAGAAAAAACGCTATTTGCCCAATATTGTTTTCTAATGCGCCAGGAATGTTATTTAGCCAGACGCATGTTAAGGAAAGAAAAAAAATTGGGACTGTTGCCATTTTAAGCTGTGTGGGTTTGTTTGACGTATCCTGTCATTCTAAAACTTGTGTCAAATGCCATTTAGTGAGTTGCATTATCTTGTTTGTTCCAGTTTTACCATGTTACTTGGCATCTACATTCCATTTTTGTTTTTTTTGAGACCGTATCTTGTCTTCCCTGCTGCACGACATTCGGAAAGCTGTTCAGTTGTGTTCGAGAGCCATGACGGTAAGTTAGGATGCGATGAAAATTTCAACAAAGTTAATTTGAGTTTATTTGAGTTGTGATGACCTTCAAAGTTCATCTACAAAATTTGAAGTTTTAGGGTTCCACGATTCAGATTTCACTTTGTGGAGCACCAAAGTGATTTTGGGCGCCACGATTACGTAATTCTTTTTGTTGGCACTATCTGTTTTTTTGGCTTAGCTTAGCTTTTTGTGTTCTTGCAGCTTTTGTTAATTAGTTTAGTACCGTGTGCTTCTTTTGTTTCATATGTGCGGGTAAGTTCTATGTCTGTTATAGTCCAGTGTAGATTCAGCTTGTTTCGGTCATAATATACTTTTATCGCTTTGCGTTGCTTCGCATCGTTCGTTTGGTTTTGTACAGGCGATAAACTATATTGGGCACGTTAAGACATGCAACTACAGGGATAATAAGCACAGGAAGAATTAAATAACGAAGAAAAAATAATTAAAAACTCACTATGACGAAATTGACTTGTGTTGCTAATAAACCAAGTGGTATGAAAGTTCGTTTCGAGTTTCTTTATGTCAAAACTAATTTTGCCTTCATTCTCACAGGGTATGCCTTATTTGGTCACCAATTCATCAAATTCAACGTTTCCGACTACTCTGAGTGTGCTTTGAAGTGCATGGCAAATGACACCTGTCATTCATACAATCTTCAAGCCAAAAGCAGTAGGCATAAGCATCAAATGTGTGAATTAAATAACCAATCGCGAATATCCAAACCTGGCGACTTTAAACACAGGCAGGGATATGTTTACAACGGTGCTGTTCCGGTAGGTTTACATGAAACACTTGTCGAGTTTTTTTATGTAGGAATTAATTTTGAATTATTTAATCTGCTATCACTTCTCAAACATTCCAAATAAAGTTCTGGTTTCTTTGCAAACAACCTTACAACCGCTGTATTTTTCTCTTCCCGTTATATGTGTATGTGCTATATACATTTCTGTTTATAGATGTAAATAGGTGAACTATGTACACACTTTGATTGGTTCTTAGCCACCGGAGGACAGACACGTTAATGACGTCACCAATGATGAGATTTTACATCGTTACTGATATAAAACAGATGTATTCTACGTTTCCGTGAGTCTGTAACGAAATAGATCAGGGAAGATGTCATCATCACTCAGCTGTACATCGTGCGTCACTTTAGTTCTTTTTGTTTTTATATTAATTTGACGTCCTCTATGACCGATTGATGAACAGACCCAAGACAACATGGTCAGTGGCTCTTTGTATCCAACAGCTTTGTTAAATTTGCTTATCATAGGTGTCCTGTGTTCCAAAAATTTGCATTGGGGAAGAAGACTGTCAGTGTCATCCGTGGTACAAGGGGCCGGGATGCCTGACGGGTAAGAAAACCAAAACCATCTGGGCTTCTTTAGTTTTGTTCTATCGTTTTCACATGCTATAGAAATGCTAAGAAAAGAATCAGTGAGACTTTGACCTTAGAGTGACTATATGATTGGTTCGTACCCATGATCTCGTGTCTCATGTCTGGAGGACAGACGCATAAATGGCGTCATCATTCACAAGTTTTGCTTCTTTATTATAAAAATTGATTCCATGTTGCCGTGTGTTCAGTTGTTTATTACATTCTCCCCTAGGAATCAGTCAGTAGGTTTAAGGAAATAAAGGAAATGATCACCTACGAGACAAGTCGTTGATCATTAAACGAAGACTCCCTGTCGTTACCGTAGGCAAAGTGTCACGAAAAGTATAGAGAGAATGAGAATTGATGTAAAGGGTTAAAGCACATTTATAGATTGTGTTGATGATGATAAAAACTGCGATTTCGAAACTAAATTTTTATCTCTTTCTTTGAAATTTATCAAGTGAGGCTTGGCCATTTTGCTGCAAATCCTGGGAAATCTTGCAAGCATATTCTTGAGTCAAATGACTCTAAAGGAGATGGGGAATACTGGATCGACCCTGAGGGCAAAGGAAACTCTTTGAAGGTCTACTGTGATATGAAAACTGACGGAGGTAGGTGAAAGGTACCAAGAGATGATACCGCATAAAAATATGCATCGCAATCTGTCATGTTCAAATCATTAAAACTAATCGAGATATACACACTATTTAAGATTTCGCATTTCTACCTAGAACACTTTAGAATTGATGTGAGATGTATCGTCTTTATTTAATATTGCTAGGAGGCTGGCTTCTTACATCCATCTTTATGGTAGATAACCCGACCACTCCTCCCGCTTGGACCGCTGAGCCATCGTACCGCGGGATCATCAAATTCACCAATCACAAAATGGGTATCACAATTAGCGCCATGAAAGAACTCAGAGGACACTTGCGATTCACTCAGATGAGATTCCACTGCAGTAAACAACAGGGACGTACGTTCCACGTGACCACGGCCGCTAACAGCTCTGGTGAAGCTGTAGTCGAGTATTTTAGCAATCAGACGAACACCCGGCCAGACTCGTGTCTCTCTTTTGTTAGAATGAAAGATGACAACTCTTATCTCTCCAGGAATTGTTCCAGATGGGGATCCGACAAATCTTCGACCTTCGAAGGGAAGTGGGGGCATAAAAATAAACAAGGCGAAACACGTTTGTACGATCTCACTGCACATGTTGATAAGCACTATAGCTGGAAGACAACCGGGATATATCGCCTGTGCGACGACAATAAGAACGATACCTTTATAAATTTGTCAAAGGGAGACTTTTGGAAGATTTTTGTTCGTTAAACAGTTACCGACAGGATAAACACATACTTAACTACCGACTTATAATTAGTGGCCTTAAAAAAGTAAAATGTTTTCACGACGGTTTTGCCCAAACGAAAGGTTTGAATATTATAGGATAACGCGAGTGAATTCATAGACCAATTAAGAGTTGTTAACATATTATCATTTCTTACGAGGTCGATAAATAAACAGTTCAAAACTTGAAAAATATCAAAGTGCTCTGTGAGCAAACTCGTGAATTGACAGATGACTTACATGATTTTTTTGATTATGTTTAATGTTATCTGGTTTAGGGAATTTTGTGGTTGATTGTCATATTTAGAGTACGAGCAGTAGTTCAGTGTGCGCTAATGTAGCAAAGAAACAAAGTAACGTTGGGATAAGAAGGCATTACAATTGAAATGATCATGCTATTACATCTGACAAGGGTGGATGATGTCATGTGTTTTAAACACATATCATTTTTGTTTCCGGTTCAAAAGAAAAGGTTGGAAGTGAACGTGGGTGAAAAGAGAAATTTACTGTCTGTCATTGTAAATATTGGAAAATCAGGGCAATACTGTCTCAATGAAAACATTAATGATTCCCTCTTTATCAAATGAGACAAACGGGAACGAGTTTTGAGTGATGTAACTAAGCCCAGACTTCCACTGTCATTTTGGATTTCGGCCGGGGTAGATTTTGGTTATGTGCTAGGCAGCGTATAATCAAGAAGAAGATAGAATTTCATTTCAGGCCTATTTATCAATTAAGTTAAAAGAAAATTGTTCTTTAAAAATTCACTGAAAATCGGTAGCCAAAATTATTTGTTTACATGCTATTTGATTTTCGTGTTAACCTGTAATTTCGTCAGTCGCCGGCACTTTTCGTTGCTTCACACCGAAAAAACACACGATACGAAATGTAATGATCAATTTTGTCCCTAATCTCACGCCATAACAGAAAAAGCTTTTGAACACCTGTAAACTCAGAGCGCTTCGGAGTAAGAGAATTAATGAATCTTCTGATTGTTTTCAAGTTTAAGGATTGTAAATTTCAATTTTAAGAAAAACGAAGGTTGTTCTCTTATTTCAGTGTGAATCCTCGCACGCCTGCCAGTCGCTGGCGCCGCTTGTTGAAACTAAAACGGATAAAAATAAACTCTTTTAAGATTATCATTGGCTTCTTTTTCACCGCACCACTATTCTTAGCAACAAAGGTCGCCATTTTGTTTGTGTATTACTTGCCAAAAACTATCAAATGCACTCAAAAGCCTAAAATCGAAAAAAAGTTTACAGGAATCGACCAGTCGAGCGAGCGAGCGAGTACCATTCTGCACACCATATCTACAACTCGCTCTTACGCATGCGCGCAATTCACGAGTTTAAAAATGGCGCTGCTCGTATGAGGGGATCGTGCTGTGTCAGTCAAACTAAACTTTCACCCTTGAAATTATGCCGAGATACTTGATTAACTAACGCAGAACAGAGTTAGGTGCTCTAGGGCGGCGTAAGAATGGATCTTTTTGGTGACATGCTGATTTAATTGCAGGAGAATCAATGGATAGCATACGTGTTTGAACCATCTTTCTCGCGTGTATCTCGCGTGACACTGACCGCTCTTAGTTTTACCGTTTCGCTCACTAGAAATATCGGCACAAGTGCCCTGGTTTGGGTTAAATAAGACCAGTTGTAAATACGTCATTTTGGATTGTGCAATAGTACAAGTTTCTCTGAATGATATTTTCAATTAAGCATTCGGTTGCAGAGGTATTTTTTTAGAGGGGACTGCTGTGAAATCAAGTTTGTAAGGAAAGCACTTCATTACGAAAACATAAGAACCTTTTTAGGAGTGGTGTAGATTCTTCAGAGTTATCTAGTCTGCTTAGGTATTTGATGTTTGTCCCGCTTGGCTGTCTCTACAATATTTTTTTGCTCACTTGCAAAGCATTCAACAGCTTCAGGTCATTTGCTCTAAGCAGCTGCTTCCAAAGAGCTAGTCCACCTAAGAATAACATTGAATACCAATTCGAGGCTATTTGTTGATAATAGCTGCTAAAACCACTCAGCAGCAAATAAATCACCCGGGTTATTTTTTTCTTTTCTCGCATGTAGTAATTTTACTACACGACAATCCTTGGATCATAAATTAAATGATTCAGTAGTCACCACTTCTCCGCCGTTGGAAAAATAATACAGAATCCTTCAGGACTATTATGAACTGCTGTTATCATCATTCTCCACAAGGATTAAAAACAAAACTGTCAGACAAAGTTAAGAAGAACTACAAAAGCCAAAGAAAGCAACTCAAAGCAGGTCAATTTCTTCTAATTCATTAGGTCCTTTTTTTAATTTCATTTTTCGGTATTTTTCGTACGTTGGTATGTATAGGCTTGGCTAAAACAAAGTAAGATCACATAAAAATTGTTGAATCTAACTTTTTTGGACTATGGCGTGTAGTGTTTAACTATAAAACAGTTGCCGAGAAAATATTATTACAAATTCGTGAGAGTTTTCAAGGTCATCCGACTAGAATTATAACCTATTTGGTAGTGCGTCTGTGCGAATCGTTGGCGAGTTGGTTTGTTTCTGACCACATCCTCACAATGGATATAAAAAGGTTGCCGCAGAGAGAAAGTTTAGTTCATTTATTATTGACAGCTGATTTATCAATTTTAATTAGTTTCCAAAAAGTGTCTGTTCACCACAACGAATCGAGCGGTCAAGAATACATTAAGAGTCACAAAGACAAACTGTGCATGGTGTCTCTGTTATGCGAATTGTTCGCGAGTATTTGACAATTTTCACAGTGAACAACTTGGGTTATAGTCGCTCGTTGTCTGCGAAAGAAAACTTGTTTATAATTGATAACTGCTTTCATAAACCCTCATATTGATACGGGGTGGCCTAAAACTTTATGCAGCGATAAATATTCATTATAAATGTATTGTAATGCAGTTCTGAAAATTTTCAAGCTCGGTCGTTTAACATAATCTGTTTGGCATTGCTTCTATACGAACCACCTAGGATCTCACAATGGACTTAACAAAAGTCGCGGGAGGGGAAGTTTGGTTCATTCATTAGTTACAGCTTCTCTATTGACTGTAGTTAAGACATTCTCCTAAAAACAGGAGGGATCTTAGGAGGGATCTTTTAACCTTTTATTTCATATGAAATAAGTACATCGTATAAGGGCCCAAATAACAGTCTCCAACGAGCAAACCCTTCAAAGATGCCAGACTTGAAGTACAGCCCCTGGTTTTCTATCCTACACTAGCGATCACCTGGTGGTTAATGCCTCAAAAACTCGACGATACAGAGGCACAACTTATCTTTTGAATAACACAATTTAATCCCGATGTATAATAGGATACATACAATTCTTGCAAATTCTTTCATCCTTTTCTCATCACCACCTTTCGCCCCTTTTAGTAGTTTGACTAGTTTGAATTTGTTTAACATTTTTTTGGTAAGGGGAGAGAACGGTTTGTCTCGCTTGCTTATCCTTTGAAGTTACGGATATTCATCGAAACGACTTAAATGAGTGAAAGGAAGGTTTTTATTTTTAGAATGAACGATTCTCAATTAAGTAACATAAACCAAAAGCAAGTTTATCAAAACGGCCAACCAGAACCAAGATAAATATCCCAAGGAGCCAATAAGAACTCATAATAAATGCATAAAAATGACCTCAAGGCGTCCTTTTCTTTTTTCTCGTTTACATTTTAGGTTAGGCAAGTTACATCGGACGCGTTTTAAAGTTTGACCCGCTCTCCGTTTTTGTCGTTAGATTCATAAAACGCTTATAAGTGCTTTCTGTTTGTTTTTTTCCTTTTTACTGATTTTGTATCGTCTACAATTATTTTCTCAATTTCTTTTTCGTGAAAACTAGTGATTGATTTTTGTTTGAAGCATCCACAATCGCAACCGAAACCCTCTAAAGTCGGTCTAGAAATAAACCAAATCAATTTTCTCTCAGCCTCAAAAAAGTTATGTAGAGAGTTATCAAACTCACCGCATTTAACGTTTTCATAGAGTAACCTACACATCCACTTTTGCCTTCAAATGTGTTAAAAACTAGACTGTGGATGCCGTGACTTTGAACTGTGCTTAGCAACTTGGCCAAATAATGGCAGTTAGATTGTATGCTGAATTTTATCATCAGAATGTTTTTTTACAGGTGAAGTATTACGCTGAATTATTGCCAAAAGATAAATCATATAATTCCTTGTTCTATTTAATTTGCTTCGGATCCACATTCTCCTCATTTTCCCCCAAAGATGAGGGTGTTATGGTCCTCTGCGTAAGTATACGTTCCATTTCTATATGCTTTTGCTTTAATGCATCGCACCTCAAAACTCTCTTTGCAGAGAACATTCGTAACGGATGCTTGCCTTGTTTAAGTAAACTCTTTTTGGCTGTACTTCCCCCAATCGATGCTAAACGAAATTTGACTTTCCTTGTCACCACACGTTCAACATAGCACTGAATAATCAGTGTCTTAAAACTAAGTATTCCATGTTGCATGACTAGCAACAACCGTTTCCCATACATTTAAGGTGAAACTGAACTCGTCAAAAACATCAGTTTTGCTGATGACGCGACCAATTAAGGCAAAATCTGATAGGAGACATTTGCATGTGGACATTGTTGATGCAGAGACAAAATGAATGTAATGAAGCTGGCTCGAAGCCTATTACTTACCGACTTGAGTTTCTAAAATGTTTCGACAAAAGTTCCTGTTCGCCACCACCAACACCAGGAATACATGAGGGGTCACAAAGACAAACTGAATCAGCCAAGAAGCCTGCATGTCGTTCGTAGATACTTAAGAAACACACGTCGAAAAAATTTACTCGTTGTCGCCTGTTGCCTGCGATTGGAAGCCTAGCTGTTTCGCGAATGATAACTGATTTGATAAATGCCCACAGTCAGGGTCTTAATTGATCCCCATTGTAACAAGCTTTTATTTTTATTATATGGATATAAGACTGAATAGACCACATAATGATCTCTAAACGGCTGATAATTAAAAGCTACACGACTTCGCTCAGCCATCTCGCTTTTCCATGTCACATCATCGATCTCGTGGTGATTTAATGTTCCAAGTAACTCAGTGCTATTATGAAATAGTCGCCACAAAGTTATTGTA